GATGTTTATAGCTGTTTCTCCTCATTTTGAGTTGTGCTTCATCATCAGCAAATGAAGGTCCTGAAAACTTTACTCCATTCACATTATCTCTGTCAACTCTCTTTTGAGGAGGCAGCTCTCCACTAGTCATATTTTGAGTGTCTTCCAACCTGAAGGGTTCTTTTTCCTGCACCATATCTATAGACGGAGTCCTGGTGTGGCACAGTGGGTTAATGTGGTAGACAGCAAAATCGGTTTGAACTTCAAAGTTGACAGTTCAAGCCCACCAGCTGCTTCTAAGAAACTCTATACAGGGTCGCTAAGGGTCAGAACTGACTTGACGGCACTTCACAACAAAAATCAACAACATATCTATAGAAAATATTTTTATGTTATTCATAATGTTTCAATATTCATATCCTGGTGTTATCTGACAGTGTTTCACTGCTATTCATAAGGTCTTCAGTGGCTAAATGTTTGGAAGTAGTCTGTCTCTCCTTCTGCATCTGTCTTAGTGTGAAAAACTCAGCTGAAACCTTTCCACCAGGGGTAACCACTGGTATTTAAAATACCAGTGACATAGCTTCAAGAATCACAACAACATTCAAGCCACCACAGTATGACAAACTGACAGATGAATGGTGGTGATGGTAATGTAAAATTGTACAGCAGCTATGGAAAATAGTTTGGTGGTTGCTAAAACAGTTAAACACTGAAATGCCTTGTGACACAGCAATTTTTCTCCTTGGTGTACACCTAAAAGAATCAAAAGCAGTGATTCAAAAGATACACACACACCAATATTCACTGCAACATCATTTACAATAGCTAAAGTGCCCATCAACAGATGAATAGATAAAGTGCAATATATGAAGGGGTTTCAAGATTTTTGTGGAAAAATTTCATTATTACACACAGAAGGATTATTACATAGCTATGAAGAAAAACTCCACGGCACATAACCAACCAACATGAAGAAAAATGAGGTTCTGACATGTCAGAAAATGAATGAACACAGAAAATATTAGCCAAGTAAATATACAAAAGGACAAACACTGCATGATTCCACTTATAAGAAATATCTGGAAGACATAAATCCATCCAGACAAAATAAGATTGGTGGCTATCAGAAAATGGGGTAAAAGTGGAATTGAGGGAGAAAACCCCCACCAGTGTCCATTTAATATTGGTGAATTGTATCTTATGTAAACTATTCCTTAATAAGATTTAAAGAAAATATAGTGTTCACAATGTAGCTTGTTTGTAAAAATTTTAGTTGAAAAGAAATTTCTAAGAAAACAATTTTTCATTTTGACTGGTGTGGTGCTATATGATAAGTTTTATTGTTGTTATGTGCCATGGAGTCAGTTCTGACTCACAGCAACCGTGTGCAGGGTTTCTGAGGCTGTAAATCTTTACGGGAGAAGAAAGCCTCATCTTTCTCCTGTGGAACAGCTGGTAGTTTTTAACTGCTGACCTTGTGGTTCACAGCCCGATTCGTAACCACTACGCTACTATCAAAGAAGAATTGATGCCTTTGAATTGTGGTATTGGAGGAGAATACTAAAAGTACCATGGACTGCCAAAAGAACCAACAGATCTGTTTTGGAAGAAGTGCAGCCAGAGTGCTCCTTGGAGGCTAAGATGGCTAAACTTCATCTCTCATACTTTGGACATATTGTCAGTAGGGAACAGTCGCTGGAGAAAGATGTCATGCTGAGTAAGATGGAGGGTCAGAGACAGAGAGGAAGATCCCCCAACGAGATGGATCAGCCAGGTGGCATCACTGATGGCATCAAGTGTGGCAACGGTAGTGAGGTTGGCCCAGGATCAGACATTGTTTCGTTCTGCTGTGCATGGGGTCACTATG